TTGATAAATGTATCGCACGTATCCGAGCGTGCTCTAAATCTTCCCCGCAAAGACACTCTATTTTTTTTTTCAAATTCACGCGGGAAAATTGGAACAAGTTTTGCGACCCCGAGAGTGTTTAAATAAAACCATGATAAATTAAGTTCACTCTTGGAATTTGCATAAAATTGCCATCCGTCTTCTTTATTTTGCTCTGAGGTATAATTCTCAACTTACCGCGGCAGCAAAAAAAGCGAATGGAATGCAGGACGAAATAAAAAGCGATACGTACACCCAGAGTAAAAAGTTTTGACGTCTGAAGAAGAATCTATTCAGAGGCTGGACATAATGCTCGTCCGCCACGACGGCCGAGAGTTTTCTATAATGAATGTTTGAAATAAGCTTTGAGTTTGAGTTAGGTGTACTTTCGTATCATTCTATGGAGGCCAGTGATAAGGGATCAGGGGGTTGAAGTTTCTTCGTGAAAAAGTTAGACGGCAAAGTAGCTTGTCGTTTAAGCACCATCTTCCCTATCCCGTTCTTAATACCTGACTGATCGATAAACCAATTAAACCACTATGGTGTTTCGTAGCAAGTTTACCATGTAATAGATTCATCGGATAGATCCACTATAGTTTCGCTTTAACGGGCCCGGAATGAAATATGCAATTCTAAACTAACCAGGAGGCCACCTCACCACGCCGCTGTGTTCACGCAGAGGCTGTCCCAAAAGTTTGTTGTCTGCGAGCAAAATTTTTGCCGATATCTCGAAATTCCGCCACGAATTCTCCGATGGCGAAGACTCTGACGAATGTTTGGAAATTCTGTCGCTTTCGACGCACAAAGTTTCGAAATTTTGACGAAACGATTCCAAATTTTGTCCAGGAATTTCCTAGAAACGCCTCTCTTCAAGTGGAAATTTCGTAGGTTCGTCGATTGTAAAAAAGTTATTAGATGCATACTTAAATTTGCAAACACGCAACCATGCACGGTTTTTCCAAATTATTCGCTTCTTCAATTGGACCGAACAAGCCACGTTGTACAATTCGCCTAGTCAATGAAGATGAAATCAACGCGCCGGTTCGCGCTGCAGGCGTAATTCTTTAAAAGGGAAAGAACGAAGAAGAAACGAATAAAAAGAAAAAAAAAAAAGAAAGAACCCCGGGAAAGATGCTCCCATAAAATATCCCAACGATCGTCCAAAGAAAAATAGCCCACGGCCCGGCAAGAGACAGAAAGAAAACATTCTTGGTTGGTTCGCGGCACTCTGTATGCGGTTTATAATATTATAAAGCAACGTCTGTAGACGGGGAACTGGCCCGGAGGGAGTGGTGAAGAAGAAAGAAAAAAAAGAGAGAGAGAAAAAGAAGAAGAAGAAAAAAAAGAGTGGCGAACGAATGAATTGTCTGCGAGTTTTTCCCCGGCAGGGAACTCGCAAAGTAGAAACAGCCGGTGCTTGGTCAGACCGAGGAACGCGACGATGCAGCTGAGATAAGGCGCGGTGCACGTACAACCGCGTTCCACTAAGATTCCTTCATGATCGCTGATTACGATGGGAGGCACGTATGCGGATATTTAATCGGATTTCGATTTTCGTTTCCATCGTCCGCTCCGTTTCCGCTCTGTTGTTAAAACGAGCAAAAATTCCAAATGGATCCCTCTCTGTTCGCCCGTTTTGTTTTAGATATTTCGAATAGATAGTAACTTCCCGGTGTAATGACAAAGAATAAAATCCCAAGTGTCGGCTCTTTTTGTCCTTCTTGTTTCGTTAGCGATAGTGGAAGTTTTGTTAGCTGTGGAATTTTACAGTTGGAACAGCTGGGAATATTCATCTCCTGTTTTTCGTTCCAAACCACTTTTACGAGACGGTGGATTTTTTTTTGCACTGTGTTATATAAATTAATTAAACGCAGACCACTGTAAAATATTGTGCGATTAAATATTTGGACTCGCTGCTGATTCGCTGGATAATTGTACTTCGGGCACTCGAGTACCTACCTGCTTCTGGAAAATGCTCAAAAAAGTCTATTCTGTTTATTTTACGTACAGTCTAATATAAACTGCGCACGCAAAACGAGGATAAAAATGAAAACATTGGAATAAAATAATATCTCGAAATTATGCTAGAAATATAAAACGTGTATATGCACGTATGCGCATAAAAATTCAGATACGCAACTGCAAGGATATAAAGTGCAACAATAAAGGCGAGTACAGTCCATAAACAACTTTATACTCTTAGGGAGAGGGGAAATTATAGTGCAAAAAGTCTCTGATATACAGATACGTCGTTTTTTTATTACACGAGAATGTATATTGTGTAACTGACACTAAAAGTATTGTCATTTAACATTTGTACAGATGTAATTAAACCCGTGTGAATTATAAAAGGTCTACCATCACTCTTTATTCCGTGCTAGACTATTGCGTGCAATGATAAACAAAAGAAAGTGAGCGACGAGCAGGCGTACAACACATTTCTGGAAAAAGAATTATATATTTGAGGAGAGTAACGATTAAATCTAAACTCTGTACTTCGGAATAAATTACTGTCGCTTCTTTTATCCTTCGTCATCTACGTCACCATGAATTCTAATAAAAAGAAAAAATAAAAAAAACACGTTCCTCTAAAATTCACAGTGCAATGTTCAATCAACGTACAAAGAAACCTGTACCTTTTCAAATCCGCCCGCGCAGCCGTTCAATTATACAAAACTACAAAGAGCAAAAAGAGAAAAAAGACAGAAAGACACAGAAACGCTCCACCATTTTAATTCGCGCGCGGATCGTTCATTTATGCAAAAAGCATAAATTCCCCTGTCTGGCGCAAGCCGAACGTGTTAATCTTTTTCTATCCTGCCCTTTGACTCCGGTCTGTCAATAGTGAGTCCTCTCTCCGCTGCCTATAAATTCGTCACGCCGCGGCTCGATATCGCCGAGCCTCGTTACCCCTGCGGGGTGACAGGGGTCGAGAGGGAGGAGGGGGCGGACGCAATGAATGAAGAGGCAAAGGTCGGACGTGTAACTAAATCCCTCTGCTGCACGACGATTTTCGTGCCGTGTACATCATCCGTATTCGCGGTCTCTGCTTTTTGTCAATTAATCTACAGTTATCAGTGGCTCGGGATAGGGCAGTGGGGTCGCGGCGCAACGTTGCGAAGCCAGCCGTGGGGAAGTTGGTCATTTGTATGACGCCAGCGTGCTGCTGTGTATACGGGTGTTATCTGCACTCTGAGCTTCGCCCCTCTGGGGAAGAACGACCTGTGACACGTTAACGTGAGACCCCCGAAACGAGAGAGGAACGAACGAGAGGGACAAAGAGAGAGAGAGAATGAGCTGGCACACACCGGCGGAAAGTGGACACCGGTTCTGTGTGTTTGCGTTAGGACGCGTTGTTTATGCGAAACGGTCAGCACAGCGAGTTACGATGTCAGCGGCTCGTTCTGGTTCGCTTCGTTTGATAATTCGATATTACTTTTGCACCTCGGGCGTCGCCATCACCTGCGTCCCTTCTCTTCTCTTTTCTTCGCGCCCGGCTTTCAATTAAATTTATCCGGCTGTGTTTTCGGGAAAATTCCGAGGAAAAACTGTGGTCGCGATTGTAGGAGTGGTTGTAACTGTGGCTAGCTCTTTCTCTCTCTCTCTCTCTCTCGTTATCTCTTTCTTATCTCCCCCCCCCCAATGTCAATCTCGGAAGCTGACGATTCACTTCACTTCAGGATGAATTGGGTTACGATCGCGGGTGAAACGTCCCGGAAATATTGAGTCATCCCACGAGTTTAAACGATCGTTAAGAACGAGAATAATAAACTCGAGTAAACTTGGAGCTTCCACCGTTTCAGAACCGTAAATTTCAGAAAAAAAAAAAAACGCATTACTCACGGGGTGCTGGGTATATTTCTCCACTCGCGGCTCGCAGTATTCTTTTGAATGTTCCCGACAGTGGAAATTCTTGGAAATCTACGGATACGAGAGGAAATATACAGATACAGACGTCGTTCGCATTCGCGCCGAGAGTCGGGTCTTTTGCTTGAATCTCTCGCAGGATAAAGGGAAGTTGTTCCTCTTGCGTTCCACCGTGCGTTAGCAAAGTCGTGATCAACCGTGCTTTTATTCCCAACTTTCCTCCCGGATCAATCCCTGTCAATCGCGAATAGGTATCGTTCCACGTCGTTCTGATGATGATTGATGATGATGGAGAGACTGGTTTGTACGGTGTACTAACGAGTGAATCGCTCCGAATGGCGCCCGTGGCCATTCCGAGTTCATTCGGGGAAACTCGGCGGAGATTATCGCGTAACACGTGTCCGGAAGGGAGAAAGTCGAAAAATGAGAAGGAAATCAGGAGATATCCGAAAAATGGATATCTCCCACGACCTTATTCGCACGGATTAACGCGCATTAATCCATCGAAAGTGAAACGTTTAATGAGCAAACAAGCGGCGAGTTTTTCTTTTTATCCGTGGCTCGAACCACGAGAGCAGAATTCTACGAGTCTACACCAGCAAGAATTTTTTCTTTCCTTCCTTTTTCGGAATTTTCTTCTCTTCTTACGGAGAAAGAGAATATATTTCGAAGAAGTCGAGTCTCTCACGGCGAATTTCTTCGTTCGCGGAGAAACGTACGAGCTGGCTGGTAAAAATTACGAGATTAATGGATCCTACTGAAAATATTGCTTACAGTGGGAACGGTATTAGCACTGTTGGATCGTTTTCAATTAATCAAGCACGGGTGTATCTTTAATTTGATATACAAATTGACATACAATGATCTTTTCAATTCGAAGAAAATTCAAACTGTTCCCATCGAGACACGATCTTAGAACGAGATGAAAATTACGGAAATGAAGAGAAACGGATTTATAATATTGTTCTCCTTGTTTTATCTTTCACCTGCCGCTGTTACAGAAACGTGAATGACGCACGCGGCTAACACGGAAATTTCACAGCGCGAACTCCTGTTGGAACAGCAGGATACCTTCGATGAAATATAATTCCGTGAACCAATTGTTTTGCTTGCAGCGCCTGTGCAACTTCGCGAAATATCGAAGGAGGGCTCGCAACGCCGGCCAAACGATGCCAATAATGACTCAGCCGAAGGGGATTTGCCTGTTTTTGAACCGACAGCGGCGAACGTCAGCGCATTCGTCGGGCAGACCGTGTACCTGCCATGCCGCGTGCGAAATTTAGGAGATAAAGTGGTAAGCCGCGGTAATTTTGCCTGCCAAACTCAACAGCAATTATTTCAGAGAAAAAGAGAGATAGAGAGCGAGAGATAGAGATAGAGAGAGAGAGAGAGAGAGAGAGTTCGTGCTCGTTTCTTCCTTCATTTTTTCCTCTTCTTCTCTTTCTTTTTCTTTTCTTTTTAGTAAAAGGGGAAAAATGTTTATCCCGGTCGCTCGTATTTTATAAAACCACGGCGAGTTTTATAGCCGATATGAAAAGTTGCGTCGTAAAAAGCGTCGCGTAAAAATACCGAGGCTGAAACTGTCCCCCCGGCGAAGCGTTTCGTTAACCAACGACAGTAAAGATTCGCGCGCCACTTTTCAAAATCCTGAACTACCGGGTCGCCTCTTATCCTCGTGCATCGTAACGACCGCGAAGAAGGAATTCTCCGCTCCGTGGATGCACACGTTGCAACCTGAACTTTGAGATAATCTACCGGCGTAATCTATACGACTTTCGCGCAGAGAGTGTGGTACGGCTAAAAGAAAGAACGAAAATGACATAGTTTTTTCTTACCGCGTTCGCTCTCGTCCCGCGGTAAGAAATAACATTTCAATTGAGACGCCAATTCAATTAAATCATTGAAGAACAATATTTCGTTCGGTCAGTTTAGTTCACTCGCATTTTTAATATCTGGTCGTGACGAGGAATTTCAAACAGTTAATTAAGAGTTGGTCTTTCTTCCGCTCGGACTCTGCGACGTTACCAAATTTAAGGAACTTCTCCGTTCAAAGAACTCGGAATTAATATTTTCGTTCTAAATATAATTCGGCGATCCAAAGTTTCGCGGCAACTATTCGCGAGGCTAATTTTTACTTAACCTGTCTGTCGCGACCTCTCGAGACAAGATATATTCCCGGAGAAAGAGTGTTTCCAACGGAGGCTAGCCAAATACAGCGATCTAGCTCGACAGTATCGCGGACACACGATCGCCGTAGATAATAATAATCAGCCAACGTAAAGGAAACACGTTGATGTCTCCGTGTTTCTGTTCTTCCCCTTTCCACGTTTTGATCGATTGTCACGAGCACGCCAGCGTAGGCTTCTAGAAGTTACGCCGGTGTCTTGCGGGCTCTCGTGCTAGCTGGGCACCTAATCGCGGCCGCTGTATTTCTCGGCCGACCGTTATTGCGGAAATGACGATTTGTCATGGAGCTGGTATTAATCGCACCGGGAGGGGGAGGGAGGAGCACCTTTGCACAGATAACAGAGGCAAAGAGGCCACGACGTCGTCGTCGAAGACATGGGAGACAACCTGTTTGAATAGAAATTGGCCTAACAGAATGGGAACCGGGGACTCGAGTAACTTCCGAAAATTAATTGTTGCAGTTGTAACGTGCGCGTGCTCTTCTTAATCGAGACACCCCACCCCTTTTCGTGTGTTTCATAATTCAGATGGAACTCGCGAGCGAAACGATTCGACTGTTTCGTCATTTCCTTCGTTCTGGGGCGGATCTTTGAACGCTGATGGTAGTTACGATCGCGGATGCCTCCAGTTTCACAGAGATAGGTAGAATTTATTGGTCTTAGGTGCAATGTCTCTTGGAGGTACGAATAGAGATTGCACGATGATGCAGACGTTTAACCAAGGAGAATCAAGTGACAGATACGAGTTCGCTGTGCAATTCACAAACGTAAAACGATCTTCATAATTTGAAAGAAAAATTGTTCAGTCAACGACGCTGCGAGTAATTACATTTTTTCAACGCGTGTTATGAAATTGTAATGACTCGAGACTGTACGGGATTTCGAATCAACGACTTGTTCGTTTGAAATAAAAATAGTTTGTTCTATAATGCTATAAATATTCGAATTTCAATTGCCATGTAATTACATAAAATATATTCCGTAGTGTACTGAACTATAATAGCTTGAATTTCTTCGGAAGATTTATATACTCGAGACAAATTATTGTAAAATATCTTCACTGGGTTTAAGACCTTTGTGGCTTAATACTTTTTAACTTGATATTTAACATTCTTTCGATTTATGATGAGAAAGAAATATATGGCCCAATTAAAAAAAATAAAGATGATCTTAATAATTTCGTAACCTCTCGAAAAATTGATAGGCCATATTTTGCCTCCCTTAAAACCATAAAACTTTCGTATGAAACAATTTTTCATTAGACGCGTAATTTAAAAGTTGTTTCAAGTGAATTGCAAGTACAAATTTACGACTTTTTCTCAATCTTTTCGCTATTTGATCAAAAAGAACCCGACACCCGATGAAACATTAAATCGCCTGGCGAATTTCACAAACACGCGTTCATTAATTTCCATTTTGCTTCTACGTATCAAGCTTATTGTTAGCCTCGTCTCCATTCTTCAAACGACGATGTGAACATCCCACCCGCGAGATTGTTCCTTCATCTCTCCCTCTCAGAGTGATGGCAAGGGATCCGCGCATTTTTCCATTTCATCGGCCGATTACCGGGCGCGGAAGATCGCGAAATGTTTCTGAAAGCGGTAATCAACGATTCCCCCGTAGTCAGCGATTCTCTAGCTAGGAGATAAAATCTTCTTGCTTACTCTCTCCTCTCTGCCGGTGTCCCGCAAACGAAGCCGGTACGAACTAAGCTTCGAGCTGCCGGTCGTAAAAGTTTTGAGAATCGATCGCCTATCGTTAGGGAGACGGCGAGAGACATCCCTCGGATGGCAAAGGCGAGAGAGCGAGGCGATATAAAAGGAAAGCAGGGAATTTATGCTAACCGACGATCATAATCATTTCACGGAGGGAAGCACGGATCGTCGCGCGCCGGCAATAATCTCCCCAGTCTGGTTGATTCGTTTTGTTCGTAGACAGTCGTTAGATCAAGGATCGCTCGGCGCCGCGTTCACCGATATCGTTGTGAACCCTTCTCTCTCTCTCTCGCTCCAACTCGTCGATATATTATTTTAAAATCCCCATTCACCGAGCCGGAGGCCGGCGTCAAAGTCGAAAAAGCCTTCTCGCGGCTATCAACCGCGTTTTCATTTCGACATTTTCCATTCGACCGGACCTCGGTTCGATTTCTCTCTCTCTCTCTCTCTTTTTTTTTCAATATGTCCTTTCGCTCCGTTTCTTTTTTTCCTTTTTCGCCTGTTTTTAACGGAAGGTTGATCGGCTGTTTGATCAATGATCGAACCGTATAACGCGGGTGTAATGGAAAAAGTCACGTTCAATGTTCGACCGTTTTTCGATTAATGCGAAAGCTAAATAAAAGTTGAAACTCTCGGGTGGTCGGAGGCGAAATCGTCGTGCTTCGTTAGTTGGCCGATATTTCATCTCTTTTTTTGATTTGTGACGAGTTCGTTCTTAATTTTCCTCTCCACCTTGCGCGTGTTAACGTTACAGTCGATCGTGTAGAAATTTTATATGGATTTGTCGAAGATTGACTCGGGAATAATTATTTATGCCCGCGACTTTATTACACACTCGAAGCAGTGCTCGTTGAACGACGAAGTGGAGCTACTTTCCTGTCTCCCCTCGTCCTCAACCTCTCGTCTTCAAGTTATTCTCGATCAATATTTGCCGATGCTCTGTTCGACGCGAAATTTCCGGGGGTAAATAGCGCAAAGTGGCTCGTGATTTGTTGACTTTGCGTACGCCCGGTTTCGCGGCGCCCGCGGTTCCTACGGATGACCGGAAGCGGCCTGTTTCGCTGTTTATGCAAAACTCGAGGCGCCGTTGTCGCGCGCGCGCGCCGCCGCCGCCTATCGTTGCCGACGACGCGCGTTCGCCGGCGAAATTTAAGAGGAGACCCGATTCCACCGACGTTACTTCCAACTTCGATCGTCCCGAATATTGAAATATCCGGGCAAATAGCGGGGCAAACAGCCCGGGCAAACAGCGCGCGCCCGGAAAATTACAGTGACGTGGCATCGATATTCACCGCGTAATTTATCCCATGACCGCGTGTTTTTGACGTTACGACTCCATTACCGGTGACGCGGAACGCGAGTACGAGTCAACAATCGAAGGAAACAGCGGTTGGAGCGATGACAGTGGAACGAGCTCGTTTAGAGTCAGACATGGTACGCACGGCGTTCCCGAAATCGTGATTCCGGAAAGCGACGAGAGAATGAAATTGAGTCAAAAGAACAACGTTTTCTTTTTCTTTTTTTATTTAAGACCCGGCTTTCGAGAAAATTGCGTTTGAAAAACTGAACTCAGGAGAGAATGTTCTTGGACAGAACAATTTCTTTCGTAATACTCGAATCGAAATTGGTCAAGCTGAAATATACTTGGTAAATTTCGAATCTTTCGAGAGAAACATTTTTCTTTCTTTCCGTTTTCTCTTTTGTTCTTTTCGACGCCGTTTCTCTCAGCGTCTGCAAAACTTCAACATCCGGCAGCAATTTTCGAAACCGTTCACTGGGTTGACGGGGCAACGGGATAACGATAGAACAGGGCTTGTAAACTTGGCTGGTCGATCGATGAATCATTTTTTGTCACCTTCGCGACGATATCGATCGATCATAAATTTCCTAGCTGGCGCTTGTGCTTCCACCGAAGGATTAACGTTGGCTCAATCTATACGTTTCCAACAACAAACCGCTGTCGTTCCTCATCCCTGATCTGTCACTGTCTTCATTCCCTTCGCTCGACCGGAAACTCGTTCCTTCGTCGCGCTAATGTACTCGAAACGAGAAGAAGAACACGAAGAAGAGGAGGAGGAGGAATGATAAGAGAAAAGGAGAAGTAGAAGGAGAAGAGAGGGCGATGAAAAAAAGAAGGCAAAAGCAGAAGAACGAGAGAAAGAGTAAGAGAGATAGATAAAGGGAGAGGATAGAAGTGGAGTGAAGCGAATCGGACACGGTTGAACACGCGCCTACTCTGATCCGAAAGTGACTCGTGATTTGTTGACCTGGCAGACAGGCCAAACAGCGGTGTCATGATGGATCGTCGTGAAAAAAGGGTGCCTTATCGGTCCGGTACAGATCGATTCCGCGTACTACAAGGACACGAAAATCACTCTCTCTCTCTCTGTTTC